AGGAGTCAGGATACAGCAATGTTTCAGGTCCACCTACGTCCTACAGTCCAGGGTAGGCTCAGTTCAAGTTCTAGAGGAAGGAGTCAAAGACTCCAAAGGCAGGTAATGTAACCAAAGGAAGTCAAGAAGTCAAGTTCCCAAGAGCTACCAATAGTAGCATAATTCTGGAAAGAGACTGGGTTTCAATGGAGAGCAGTACCAGAGAAGGGAGCAGTCCCTCTGTCAGGCATTCTTCTTCAACAAAACCAGTAGTGGATGGCAGGATTGAACAGGTTTGTTTACCTGACCTCCTGGCAAATGAGTCACTGCTGCTTGCCAGGAGGGGCAAGAGAGGCAGTAGGGAGGGCAGTGTGGTGTAAACCAACTGAGAGGAGTACTGGGTTGTCTCCACTGACGTGTTTGCACCACGAGTCATAACAGAATGGAAACAAATGGACCCAGTTTCACTGGTGGTCTTAATTCACCTCCTGGCATCATCACAGAATCATAAACTACTAAGCACATCAAAACTGTATACGGCGATAAGTATTTTGGGATATTTTTGGAGATGTAATAAAAATGATTTTTTTAAAAAGTTGAAGTGTGAGTCCCAGAAGGATCAGGAATGGAGGTAGATGGTGCACTGATGGAGATCTGTGGGAGGACGAAACAAAGACCACACCAATTTGCAAGCCCTGTTCTTAACTCAGTGGCTATGGGAACTGGATACAATGGCAGGGGTGGGAGGGTATGCCGAAAGCAAGACAGGAAATCAGGTAGAGAAGCAGAAAGATACGGGGTGGGGAGGGAGACTGGTAGTGGTTACGCTTATGCTCACACCAGGTCAGAAGAAGAAGAGTTTGGACTTGATATCCCGCCTTTCACTTCCCTTAAAGGAGTCTCAAAGCGGCTGACATTCTCCTTTCCCTTCCTCTCCCCCACAACAAACACTCTGTGAGGTGAGTGAGGCTGAGAGACTTCAGAGAAGTGTGACTAGCCCAAGGTCACTCAGTAGCTGAATGTGGAGGAGCGGGGACGCGAACCCGGTTCACCAGATTACGAGTCTACCGCTCTTAACCACTACACCACACCAAGCATGGGGCCCCATATTGTAACATGGGAGAGTGCTGCTACTTCTTCGCTAAGCAACCCCAAGTGGCTGACCAGATGGGGAACTAGCGCAAAGCTTATGGGGCTCAAACCCAGCCAATGCCGACACCTACAAAACCGGATGGTGGAAAAGAAGAATAAACTGCCTGGGACCTGAAGACTGGCAAAAGGAGGAGTATAGCTGGCTGCAAGAAATAAAGTCGAGGTGGTCTTCTGCTGGACCCCACCGTTGTTCTCCCAGGGCAAGCAGCAGTCTATGAAAAGCATCTGCAGCTTAACGCCTTTTGGCTGATGTTTCCATCGTCGTTTCGGCTGCGCGGTGTTAACTTTGGCAGGGTCTCAGTGCTACTTTGGGACAGTTTCAAAACTATTCAGAGAAAGCTTAGTTTTGATTCTAGTGTAGTATTTTTCGGTCTATGTATAGAAGGGTTTGTTTTTAACACACACAAAAAGAGGAGGGGAAACTGCTTGGCTCCTGCAGAGCATCAACTGACTTTCATATAATCTCCACCAGCTGAGCCAGTAAAAAAAATAGAAAAGAAAAACTGGCATGGTCACAAGCGCAAAGCATTCCCCACCCTGAGAGAGGAAGGCACAGGGCCATTGCATATTCATCAGGGCTCTATGCACACTGTATTCCCTGCCTTTGAAGAACACTCCCAGCCACCACGCACACAGACAGACACACCAAATTCCACACCAAGGTGACCCAAGGGTTGCGCCAAGGAAACCAAGTGCATATATTTGCTTTTTCTGCAGAGCTTTTATTCTGTTTCAAAGTACAAAGTTTTAAAAGGCTGCCATATTTTTTTGGAAGGGCTCCATGAACTGTTGGGATTTGGAGTGATTTGACAGGTAGCTCTTTGGGGTGGAGGTAGAAGTCAGCCATAAACAAATTATAAAGAATCATGTAAGCTTTTTTTCTCTCTCAGCCAGAACTCACTGGAATTCCAGTTCCACCACCTCTCAAGTGGGCACACCATGGCCATTTTAAGAGAACAAGGAAGGCGTTCATGGTGAGTTCTGGCACCTCTTTTTCTAGAAAAACTGCACTGCATGTAAGGCACCAGCAACCCACCTCTCTAGCACTTTAAATTATTTCTCCTATTACACTGTTCTGTGGCCCCCACATATTTAAAACGCTCTGCCATCTGTCACCATGGATTTGACAGGGAAATAGCTACTGCATGCCAATGAAGATGGAAGCATGGGCATGGCAGATGACATGGTAAGTAGAAGAGGGGAAAGGTTCTAAATGCTAACATCAACAACAATTTTATCATTTATACCCCACCCATCTGGCTGGGTTGCCCCAGCCACTCAATCCACAAAACCAAGCCCCTCAGCTCCAGGAAACTGCAAATCAAATACTAGTTCTTTGTGGTCTCAAAGGAATCCATCTTTATCTTCCCCTTGGGGGCTTCTGAAATTTTGCCAGACATTTGTGAATTTTTTTCACTGTGGCTATAAGGACTGGAAATTTTGTTTCCCTAAATGAAAGCTGGAATTGTTGTATTCTGCAAAAGTTGCCATATGTCTGGAATTTCCTGAACATTGTCAGTATTCAGCCCCCATAAACCGTGTCCGGGCAAAAATTGCTGAAATGTCTGGAAAAATCAGGCCCACGTTGTTAGTGTAGATTTTGGCGATTTCTTTTTTTTAAAAAAGCAGCTCCAAAACTCTCTTCTTTTCTTTTTTAGACTTTGCCCAAATGCCACCCCCCCATAAATTTTCACTTTTTGAAATATGGCAACACTATATTCTGAAACAAAGCACAGAAAAGAAATGAATACCACACACATCATATTATATCACATACACACAAACACAGACATTCATCCCTCAACTGCTACAAGTTAAGAATATAATTAGAAGCCTGATAGGATAGCTCTAAGCAACTACTTTATTCCAAACTTAAAAATGGAAAGCGTAACGCTGGTGGTCAACAAAAGAAGTTTAAAGACTGTCTCAAGGCAAATCTTAAAAAATGTTGTATAAACACTGACAACTGGGAAACACTGGCCTGCGAGCGCTCCAGTTGGAGAACAGCCTTTACCAAAGGTGTCATGGGCTTTGAAGACACTCGAATTCAGGACACAAGGGAGAAATGTGCTATGAGGAAGGCACGCTTGGCAAATCCACACCGTGATCAACTCCCACCCAGAAACCAATGTCTCCACTGTGGAAGGACGTGTGGATCCAGAATTGGCCTCCACAGTCACTTACGGACTCACTGTTAAAACCGTGTTTATGGAAGACAATCTTACTCGGCTATGAGCGATCACCAAAGAGGATAGCTCTAAATACTGAGCCAGTGAAATACTTTGTGTACATCTGCTTTCCTTGCCAGTAGTGCTGCAAATTAATTAAAGCTTTTGCTCGGCACACTCTTCCCATACAATGCTGGTTGTACTGCAAGCCATAGTAACCAGGCGAAAGCTCATGAACATGTTTTGTTCCAGTATCTTGCGTAGAGTTATGGCTAAATCTCCTGGGTAATGACATGAGATTGGATAATTCCTGTAGTAACAAGGCAGCAGCCCTAGTTATATTTGCTGATGACAGACGGCAAGACAGAGCCAGGAATTAAGTAACCGTCCTGGGAGTGCGGGACCATGAGCTGCATTTCCATAATTTCTATTGACTCCAAACCTTTAGCAGATCACTTACCCCTGCCTCTACTTAAATTGCTGTATCTTCATAATGAACCGCATAGACACTAAACTTTCCACATCAGAGTTTTGCACCCATTATAATTCATATTTTGCTAAAGCGTTTTGCTAACTCTATACAGACACTAATCGCTTCTGCTTCTTCATGCTTTCTATTGCTGACACCCCAAAGCCCGTATTAGGAGTATCTGATATGGGGAAACATTATTTAGGGCAATGATGATGATGCAGTGTTCATCTTGCTGAAGCGATTCCCACCTGTAAACTAGAGCTACACTGTTACTTCCCCTCCAGATTCATCTCTCAAAATTAGTCAAGGGATTATAATGCTATCTGTTGGACTAGAAGAGTTTTAAAATAGTTTATAGTTTGATCATCAGGCAGCTGCATCTTGACGGTTTGGTATGGCACTTTCGCTGTCTTTCACACACGCATACTGAGAAGGATGCAAATGGATCTGACAGGACTGAACTTTCATGACTCATTTCAACCTTTCAATAAGGGTGTGGATCAAAGGGCCCTTTCTAAGAGGCTGCTAATGAGCTCAGTGCCTGCCACTGCACCTCCCAGTGCCAAGCATTGCAACAGATGAAATGGGGGACAAGGGAAGAGCAGATCTCACTCATGAGACATTGAAGGGTTACACAGAATGAAAAGAGACATCTGTATCTTTGGAATACCGGTAGTTCTTAGCTTGCCATAACCTCATGTAAAATCATTCTCCTCTGAAGAGTTCCAACACTGTAAGATGTGCAAACACGCTGAATCTGAGACCAGAAAGTCTCCTGAATGATTCATAACCTGAATGATGACTGGGACCAAGAGAGATGGAACTTTTTCACAAAGTAACAAACCCAATGCTTGCAACAATAGCGATAAATACAGTGGTACCTCGGGTTAAATACTTAATTCGTTCCAGAGGTCCGTTCTTAGCCTGAAACTGTTCTTAACCTGAAGCACCACTTTAGCTAATGGGGCCTCCTGCTGCTGCCGCGCTGCCGGAGCACGATTTCTGTTCTCATCCTGAAGCAAAGTTCTTAACCCGAGGTACTATTTCTGGGTTAGCGGAGTCTGCAACCTGAAGCATATGTAACCCGAGGTATCACTGTACAGTACTCAGAGCAAACACAGAAACACCTCTACACTCCACATACATCAACAGTTAGAATCCCAGAATTGTAGAGTTGGAAGGGACCACAGGGGCCATCTAGACCAACCCCCTGCAATACAGGAACCTTTTGCCCACCATGGGACTTGAACCCACAATCCTGAGATTAAGAGTCTCAGGCTCTACCGACTATCCTCCCTCCCATGTTCTACAAGAGGAATCAAGCATGATCTTCACGTTGAGCTTGCAATTATTGTCTAATATGCAATACCATTCTTTGCAGCAGTTTTACTCTGAAGTTATTTAATTAAGGCCACTTTACAACAACCAGCACAATAATGTGCCTCAGAAAAAGAAATTCATATAAATTTATCTTACCTCCAAACCACACACTTTGGTAGGTTTTAAAGGGCTGTATGAAGTGCAGAAGGTACAATGCAAAGAGCGAGTGTGTTCCCCCACCTAAATAAAAGCTATTTGGAGCAGAGACTCACATAGTCCCAGACTTTCTTCCGTTGCCATGTAATCTCTAGGAAATGACCTTACTGTTTGTTGCTTTGATTACAGATTGAGAAACAAAAGCTTTCCCCAGTGAGCAAGGCGGCACGAGATATTAAAGATTTGTACAGAATGGGAGGCAATCAAACTTGAGAACTTTTATTGTTAAGATGTCCCGTTGCAATAGTTATTTGCCCCTTATCATTTCCAGCCTCACCTCCCCCCTGCAAAAAAAACCACTTCCAAAAACAAGCTCTCCCTATAACTCCAGTGCAAATCACTATGAGGGTTCAATGCAAATACAAGGTTGCCAAATGAACACCTCTCCTCATGCAGCAAGTATGTACGTCAGGGGTGGCTAGTTTTTGGGCCTCCAAATGTTGTTGTAGTACAACTCCCATCATCCCTGACCATTAGCCATGGTGGCTATGACTGATGGGAACTGGAGTCCAGCAGCAACTGGAGGGCCAAAGTTTAGCCACCCCGGTAAGTGTATTCACCCCTAAGCAACATCAGGCAGAAGCAGTGTTCAGCCCAAATTGTGAGGAGCTCATGGGGAAGAAGATCTTAGAGGGCTCCCATCGCTCAGGGGGTGCTCTTCCTCACCACTGCCATTTCACTTGCTCTGTCCCTCTAGCATCAATCGGCACAACCTCCCCAAAGGGAGTTCATAAGGAAAGTGGAGGGTGTTGCTCCATCTTTACATCCATTGCGTGTTCAAAAAGTACAAGGGAACAGGGCGCAATAGTAAGGAGCAGGAGCAGATGGGTGGAGATGCTCCAGAGGTTGGCAGTGCAAGCCTTTAGGTTCACATTTGCAGGATTCACATATGTATGCACAATTGTTCGATGCTTGAGGAGCATCCAAACACCACAAATTTCATAGCTGAATGTGAGGGGGGCAGGGTCATGCTTATGGGGCTCTGTCCCATTCCCATTCCTCTTGGACAGGAAGAGAGGCAGAGCAAATTCAGTTCATGCATCTGGTTCTTCTTTCAAAACTTATTTATATGGCATCTTATTATCCAATTCCCCCTTGAGTAGTTATTTAGTTGTTCATAATCTTAATACAGTGGTACCTCCAGTTGCGAATGGGATCCGTTCCGGAGGTCTGGCCACATCCCAAGGAATTCGCAACCGGAGGATTGCTTTTGCACATGCATGCGGTGCATAGAACGCTTCTGCACATACGGCCAAACCCAGAAAAATACTTCCGGGTTTGCCGCGTTCGCATCCCAAAGTTTACATATCCAGAGGGATACGTAAGCAGAGGTACGACTGTAGCACAGAGCCAACAAAAAGGAGAAATTTCTGATATTTTCTGTCTTTTGCTTAACAATTTAATAATTTTATTATTTATACCCCGCCCATCTGGCTGGGTTGCCCCAGCCACTCTAATTATGTTATATGAATTGCATATAAAACTGCAGTGTAGTAATAACAATTTTAGATCAGGACTGTTCCTCTTATAGGGATCAGGAACAAAAGTATTGGTTCGCTTCTCTTTTTTCCAAAGTAAAATAGGGAGAGATTAACTCACGGACTTTCAACAATACTGAACCATCTATTTCAGCTGTCACCCAGAATCAATGAATGATATGACTTTTAATCAACTAATTAATCAGTTAAACCTGTATACATTTACCTATCAACAAAACCATTCCCTCCTTTGTGAAAGAAATGCCTGAGTACTAGTATTCAAAATAATAACTTTTTAAAAAAAGTTGTCCATCATCAGGGGCAGATATTTAAAAATATGCTGTTCAATTATTCTGACCAATCAATCAACCAACTAATAATTGCATATAATAATAATAATAATAATAATACTTACTGCATATGATAACCAAATATTTTTAAAGTACATGCATCTCCAACATTCAATACCTACAAATTGTTATTCTAACTCTCATTACATTTACAGTGGTACCTCGGGTTAAGTACTTAATTCGTTCCGGAGGTCTGTTCTTAACCTAAAACTGTTCTTAAACTGAAGCACCACTTTAGCTAATGGGGCCTCCCGCTGCCGCCGCACCGCCAGAGCCCGATTTCTGTTCTTATCCTGATGCAAAGTTCTTAACCTGAAGCACTATTTCTGGGTTAGCGGAGTGTGTAACCTGAAGTGTATGTAACCTGAGGTACCACTGTAGTATCAGGAGAAGGAGGATTCTGCCAGACCCATTCAACCTACTTCACCAGCTAATAGGCAGTAGTTTTAGAAATCTCCCTGCCTCCACTGAATAAACACTGTTTTCCTCTCCTAGAACCAAAATGGAAAATACACGTGTGCAATAAATGTGCCACCTGTGCAGAGGAAATAATAATAATTTTAAAAAATAAAGAACAAACATCAAGCCCACACCAACAAGGGGCCAACTCTAAGCCATATACAAGTTAAATCTTCACCAGCTGAGCATAGCTGTTCAGGTATGGGCCGTACTAATAACAAATGACAAAAAACACTCATTGGGAACTATGGGAGCTATCCGAAGGCCCAGAGAAAATAACAGCAGCTTGTAAATGCCAGTTGACATGACTACTAAAACAAATGCAAGCTACCAACAAAGCAAGGAATGGATCTTGGAAAGAAATGGAATTGATTACAGGGGTAGAGCACATCAATACGGAGACATGATGGGGAATGACAGACCTTAAGAGACTGCAATGATGGCTCCTGAGACTGGGATGACAACTTTGAGACTGGATGCAACTGGGTTCTGAGGAAACTAATAGTGCTCTGCAGGTGCTGGCAATCAGCAGATTGTTGGTTCTTGCAAAGGCATAAAACTTTGCAGACTAATCCCACTTTTTGCAGGAAGGTGTGTCTTTATCTGCCTCACACCTGGCATTACATATAAAGTCAGGTGTAGAATATGGATGTGTGGCTTGGCCAAAACAGCCTTGCACCAGGCCTAATCAGGCCTGCAGGCCAGAGAGGTTTCCCAAACTTGGGGCTCCAGCTATTGTCGGACTACAACTCCCATCATCCCTGACTACTGGTCCTGCTAGCTAGGGATGATGAGAGTTGTAGTCCAATGACAGCTGGCGACCCAAGTTTGGGAAACCCTGTACTAATGCTAAGTAAATTGAAATTCAAAAGCTCAGCCCTATCTTGCACTTTTAGTACTACTGAAAGTGGTAATCCCATGTGTTACGGTAGGGGACTTTTGAGTAGGTACCAGATATTACAAAACATCCACAAACCTCTTGAGTTCAGATTACACTCGGCCATGAATCTTGCTAGGTGACCTTGGGATAGCTAGACTCCTGACTATTGCTCATAACGGCTGGGAGTGACATGAACTGTGGTCTAGCAACATATTAGGGCACAGGTTCCACACCCCTGAGGTATATAATGAATTCTACCAATACACAGGCATTCATAGGTGTAACAGAAACATTCAAAGCTAAGTCCTAGATGGGAAGTGGCCTGCCTCCTGTCTCCAAACACATCCTTTGTTTTCACAAGTGATCAAACACTGGAACAAACAGGGGTAGAAATGGGCAAGCTGCCTTGCTTCATAATCATTTTTAATTTGGAGGGAATCACCTCTCTCCCAATTAAGACTATGACCTTTGCCTGCTCAGCAGAGTACCATATTTACCAGGGTTGTGCTGGACAGGGAAAACTCGCCCCATGTGAACATAAGAACAGCCTGCTGGATCAGGTGAATAGCCTAATCTATCTAATCCAGCATCCTCTTCTCATAGTGGCCAACCAGATACTTATAGCAAGCCCCAAAGCAGAAGAACCCGAGTACAACAGCACCGTCGTCCCCCCTTGCATGCTTCTGGTATTCAGAAACATACTGCCTTCAACAGTGGAGGCAGAACAACAGCCATGTGTAGTTCTAAGGCTTGGCAAGAACTGTTGAGTTTGGAGTTCAAACAAGTATCATGAAGCAGGGATAAGTGTGAGGAACAAAACAGTAATCATGAGGAACAGAGAAAAAAGGATGAGCAACAGACAGCAGTGTAGAGAGACCTGAAATGATGCAGAGAGAAGAGAAAGCATGCTGGGGGTACAGTGAGAAAGAGGGTGATACGGGGTGCAGTCAGACCAGTAAACAATGGAAAGGAGGAGGTAGCTGAGAGATGGAGATATAGAGAGAACTGTAGGAGGGAAACAGAGAAAATGGGAAAGATGCGGGAGGACCAGGAATCATCTGGGACACCTAAAGAAAATAGCTTAAAAGAAAACACTGAATTAAAACTGAAACAAAATGCCCTTCTTTGGAAAACAGCAAACAATGCAGTCCTCTTAGAGGAGGGAATGCAAGTGTAGCCTTCAGAGAGGTTTCAGTTGTCCCCCCACCCCACCCGCAAGAATCTCAGGTGAATTATTAGTCAATGAGAACACAATGCCATCTTTGTTCCATCCACTTCTAACAGACTCAGCCTTTTCCTCAGATAATCTACGAATTCCCTCAGCATCACCTTGTAGCTCTCTCCTGCCCTGACATGCTCCCCCACTTACTCCTACGTGATCCTCTGATCCTGTGCCCTACTTCTTGTGTGTATTAACAAATGAACTGGCTGAGCAGGAGATTTGCCAGAAGCCCTCCTACACAGCAGGTAAGAAGACTAGGCAGACGTCAGAAGCTCAGGCAAGGGAAATACAAACTAGAGTACCACTGCTTGATAGGGAATTCCACATGGAAAACTGTTTGGAAGAGGAAATATTTCAGAGAATTAAGGGAC